ATCCAAAAGTTGAAGCCACCTATTTCCAGGGTTCAAAACCCCATTTTGCTGAAAACCCTGTCACTATTTGCAACACATACCCACTTCAACCCCTGTAAAAAAAATGGCACGAGGACATCCATGTAGAATGCGGAGCCTTTGGGTCCGGCATTCTTTAAATCCCATCTAGTCACTCCTATGGCACGCCACCAGGATTTACCTCTAATTTTTACATGATGGGCAACCTGCTAGAGAGCTGGCTGGATCCACCGGCTGGGATTTTGTTGGGCGCCCATCCCTCTAAACCAAACTCCGAGGCGCATGATGTGCGCCTCCCGTGCGTTGCAGGGATCGAACTTCTCCTACAGACCATCGGAAGTGGTGATCTGGCAACACGTGTGGGGGTTGATCAATACTCCTGGCCCCCAAATGACCATGAATAACTTTTCCCATTTAGTGGGAACTATCATCTTTTCATTTGTTTTAGTGGTTTTCCCCAATGGTCGGTTTTCCCCAATGGTCATTTCATGTACAAGACCTTTTGTCATTGCCAATGGGTTTGTTTTTCGGGGAAGAAGCTTTGGTCCACTTGAAACGATAGCTGACACGCACCTTAACTTGTTTTGCGGGAATGCACCTCCCAAGGTCATCAATTTGAACCCCAACTTTGTACGACCAAATGGAAAGGTCCCCCCTAACCAAACCAAACTGTCAGTGTGATGTTCCGTGCGGAAAGAATTGCCCTTTTTTGGTGCCTTTAAATGAAACTTCTCCAAGAACAGGGAGAATCACCATAAAAACAAGAAAGAAAACTAGCAGGAGTGTTGCCAAACAAAGGTGCGATTGGTTGGGAAATCAAAGTTTGGGCCACCTTGTAAAGCTGTATTCCCAGGTCTCCTCAAACAAGTTGCTTAAAGATTTTGGTTTTGAAGGAGCCGGACAGTGGCTCCCTACAGGACAGTGGCTCCCTACATGTCCAGCTGAAACATCACCCTGATGGTCGAACACTCCGAAAAGCAACCCATACGACTCAGCAGGGGAAAGCAGAGGAAGTCTGCCGCAAGAGGGGGATTTCGCCAAACAAACTGAGCCTTTTCGGGAAAAGAACTTGGCTTTCTGAACCTGTTGAGGCCTAGCCTCTTCTAAGGGGTGTCCACTTCCAGACCACCCAAAAGTCACATGGATGATATATACCGTATACGACCACCTCGCCAACCCAAAGGAAACTAGGCAAAACATGCCAACACCACGGAACAAACATCGAGTTTGGTTTTTCAGGAGTAAGAAGAAAGGGGCCATGGTTGAGCAAAGTATGTTTAAACAACCATCTCCCTGGTCCACTTAGAGGGAAACCAACTTGAGGTTGTTCAAACAAGAGTGGTTGAGTTGGTGCGACCCTCCAAACTGGGGCAAAACCCCTCCCAATAGCACTTCACCCTTTCATTTGACTTCAGTTTAGCCACATTTTTGTAAGGGTCTCTCAACGGAAAAAGTTCACATCGGTGTGTCTTTTTGAGGGTACCACTTTTCGTGGTTCTACAGAAAAGCCAAAAGGAAAACCACCATCCGCATGAGTCTGGGCGACGCTCCTTGTCTCGGCCCTCCAGCGCCGCCGCCACACGGCAGAGGTAGGCGGCGGACTCCTCGCCCGATCGCAGCTCCAAGCGCGCGAGGAGGCGCAAGGCCTCCTATGGCAACGCTCGCCCTCAGATGCCCAGTGGCCATGGGACAAAAAGGATCGGCATCCGATTTTTTGGGTTGGTTCCGCCACATTGCTCAAGACCCCACCCCACCCAATTGGAGTGCGTGGAGCCCACACCCCGGCCGAAGCCCAAAATCAGGGTTGAGTTTAAAGGGGAACCCGTCCCCCCCACCCCCCCCCCCAAAAAAAAAAAAACCGTGCGCAACAGAGCCTTTGGCTCGATAGGCAAACTCTAATTGAACCTTCCAAGTGGGTTAATTGATGATTGATGAGGGACTCCCTAACCAGCAAATCATGCAGAGACAGCAGCACTTGCCTACCCCACTTCAGCCCGAAAAACGTCATCTTTGGAGTCTTCTGGGCAACCCACTCTTTAGACTCTAGATGAATCCGGTCACAACCTAGGACCTACCCTGCCAAAAACACGGCTTCCTATGAGCCCTGGTCCTCCGCCACCTGGCCTCGGAACTTCTCGCAGTCCGCGGGCTCCGCCACGGCCTCCGGCACATCCAGCACTTGGCAGAGCCAACCTGCGAGGTCTTCCCCACCCCCTGGTTGCCTTTGGAAGGGGAGCAAAAATTTCGCATTTTGGCAGTTCAGTGGGGATTTCAACCACTATACCACGACCCCCGCCCCCCCCCCCGTCAGCATCCATTTTTGGAGGGAAGGCCAACCAACACCGCACCACTCTTTGACAAACCAACGCGGAACAGAGACCTAAGCAGGCCGGAAGAAAGAACATATTCGTCCCACCACCTTTCCAAACCCCCTCAGTCATCAAACTCACAGCCACGACATGTGAACGAGCGGGGATTTAAGCTCCTGCAAAGAAAACAGCAGCGCCGCCGAAGAATGCCCTCTGCCTACTGCGAAGGTTCTGTGCCAGGCCATCTGCCGGCACAGCGCGGCTGCCAGGACCTCGAGCTGCGCTCCGAATGGATCAGCCGATCAGCCCTTTGAATGGGAATCCCGAAGCCTTTCGGTCATGGGGGCGCTGGGGGGGAGGGAGGGGGGACGGAGGGAGCCCCAAAAAGCTCCAAATAAGGCCTTAGGGCCTAATAAGGGCTTACTTGGGCTCCCTCCCCCTCCCCTTCCTCCCCCCCAGCCCCCATGATTCGGGAAACCAAAATCCACCTCACGCACACAAGGCGACGTTCCACCCGCAAAGAGGGGGGGCGTCTGAGGCAGCTACCAAAGTTCCCTCCCAAAGCCTTGGTGATTGTTTTTGAGGACAAATAAGCAAAGGAAGCCGAAAAACGAAATAAGAACAATGGGATGGCACGTTTTGACCAAACCATAGGAGCAAAGTGTTAGCACCCTCCCGCTATGGAAGCTGACAAGCTCAACACCAAGGAGCTCCCCCCAAAATGAAAGACTACCACATCCAACAAGCGCAAACCCATGAATGTATGCAGCCCCTGATATTCAACGTCCGCCTCCGGCAGTTCCTCACGCTTCCTCTCGGAGGCGACATAGATGTCCAGGCGCTTGCCTCAGGGGGTTCGGCGGAGAAGGTTTTGTCAGAGAGTTGCCGGCTCGCAGGGAATGAGTCGGAAGCACCGGAGATCCCTTTCCATGTCATTCCCGAAAACCTTGAAATTGTTTTTGTGTGTTCATTTACCAGCTTCAATGAGGTCACCAGAAACGAGATGGGGACAGCCTCTGTCGCAGGGTGGCCGTGAATCTGTTCCCCCCTTTGCAGGCAAGGCTCCTACAACCGCTTTGGAAAGGGTTCGGATGAAGTGCTGGTAAGAACCTTTCTGGACTCCATGCTTGCATTTAGGATGCTGAGGCTGAAAAATGCCAAGGCAACCAAACGAAACCGGCCTCCTAATTAACAGGGTTGGCCAACCCCTTGTTTCAGCATGTCGAAATCACTATTTTTTAAACCGCCTCTTTGGGGTTTACCTTTAAACAGCCCCGTTTGCTTCTTTCAACGAAAAACGAAATGTGTCCTAACCCTACCTCTCACCTTATCCCCGCTCTGGGACCCGGACAGTTCCCAAGGACTGCCACCTCCTGGGCAAAACTGGGCACCAACAGAGCAAACCCTCCGGGGAAACGAGAGGGGGATGTTCAAACAAATGTGGCTTACAAATAAATCCCCTGCAAATATCTGGTTCTACAAATGGCTTCGCAACCTTACAAAAATAGATCTTGCGGATAGCCGATAGGCGCTAGTTCTGTTATGCGCCCGTCCCCACAAAATCACTGAGGGCGGTCAATGCCGGAGTCCGCGCAATTAATTCCGTCCCAACCCTGCAAGCCCTCCTCGCCTCCAAGCCCTCCTCGCGCAGCAGCGCTTTTGCCAGCTTGGCCGTGGTTTTCTGCCGCGGTACGAAGAAGTCGTGGCCGTCCCCCAGGACCCGCTCCTGCCAAAGGCGCGGGACTGACAGGACTAGCTCTGACGTGACTTGATTGCGAAACTTCCTTGAGCAATCTCTCACGTAACCCTACTGCAACTTGACTTGCGCACTCGGCACCAGAGTGTTCCTGAAGAACACTGGGCACATGTTTTCAGGAATCAAAGGCATAAGGGGTCCAGAGTGTGGCATCCTGCAGATGCGCTCTCGGCTCTCCGTCCTTCCATGTCCAGCAGCGCCTGCCATGCTTCAAGCCCCGCGAATGGAACACAAGTCGATCAACACACTCCTGCGGATTTAAGGCGGAACCCAAAACACCAGATGCGATTTAACAAGGCTTTTCTTTAGCCCTTTTTGGGGTCGGTGTTGATTTGGAGGGCAGTAGGGCAGTGTCCCACTTTAGAGGGGATTCTGCACTTTCAGGGCAAGAACAAATCACAGGTTGAGGTTTGAGTGCGCCTTCTTTGGGTTGTTTGGGAAGAAGACAAACCCGATAGGAGAAGCCTCCATGACTTCAAGGGAGCTTGGCTCACAGAAAATGGACGGCGCCGACCAGACTGCCCCCCATCCGCTCGTTTCCGCCTCCAGGCACAAGCATGCACTTGATCCCCCGGCTTCCGGAGGGTCACCTGAGAGAAGATGCTCCAGAAAACCAGGTGCAGAATTCGCCTCTTGGGCCTTTTGTGGGTTCCTTGCTGAGTGCCAAATCGGGGATCTGCAATCGGTGATCTGCTTGGAATGACACACCGCTAATATGTGTGTAAGGCCGTAGTTCTGTGAGCGACACCTCCAGTACCATACCCGAACACTGGATATCAGGGATTAATGTATGTATTCATGAGATTAAACAAGCACCTCAAGAAAAAAACTACAGGGTGTAAAAGCACTTTAAACATCACCAACCACCCATGATGCTTGTCACCAAAAAGGAAAGCTGTCCCTCAAACCCTTGGGAAATATAGTGTATCTGTTGCTTGTTGAACGCCAAGCATTCAGCCCAGAGTTCCCCCCCTTCAAGTTGTACGGGTTTTTTGATTTGGAGGAGCAAGTGTACATAATCATGTTCCCGCTAGGGGTGGCAAACCGGGGGGTAGCCCCTCAGATGGAGGGCGGGTCGGAAAGTGTTTTGCTGTTCCAACGAGCTATTTGGGATTGCCAGGGCTTGTTTGGGCTTGGTTTGGGTTAGTTGGGGGTCTTTGCGGTTGTTTGGGGCTTTGTGGGGTTAATTGGGGGGCTGCCCCTCCCCTCTTGGTGTTGCGCTCTCACATTTACTCGGGGCTATTCGGGGCTATTTGGGGTTATTTGGGATCTGGGGTGAGTTGAGGCTATTCGGGAGGCGAGTAAAGGTTTGGGGGGCTACCCCCCTTCTGCTTACCCCCCTAAATGGCTCATGACAAAGCGGCCATGTGGTGATATCACCCCGTTTTCCCCCTCTGTTTCCCCTGGGTTTGGGTAGCATGAGGAAACTCTGAGCCTTGTTTCTCGTGCAAAACATCGCAACAGCCGCCCCAAACCCTCGGTCCCTTGCAAGGTACCTGATTAGAACTAAACTCAAAACCAGTGGAATCCAAGTATGTTCCATGGACCTATCGAAAGGGCAATGACCTATGCCCTGAAGAGTGCGCGTGCGCCTCTCACATGACCTCTCCTGAGAAAGATTAATCGGGGGAGAACGTGATGCAAGGGACCTGGTTGGCTCCCAGATGCATTCTTTGCAAATTTGCTTCGACCTTCAGCCATTAACCATTGGGAAAGTGATCGTTACCCTCTGGGAAAGTGATCTGTAACCTTTGGGAAACGACGTTTCACCTTTGGAAACATGACCTCTAGCCTTTGAGAAATGGCCTCTACCCTTTGGTCTCACCTTCAAGCTCTGGTTTGACTATTCACCTTTGTGTTGCCCTATTTTTTGACAGGACAACAGAAGACAGCCACATAAGACAAGAGGAAAATTGATGCTCTCCGCCGCAGCGCCACGTGCACTGTGTCCTCCACCGGCAGGGCCCGTGGACTCCGGAGCCGGATCTCGGAGGGAGCAAGCCAGCGGTGCGAAGGGAAGCCGCACCTGGGATGCCGACGAACGCCAGCTTCGCCGTGCTCAAACTTTGCTTCGGGCGTGCGCAAAACCCAATGCGACACAATGCTGTCCCACAAGTGGCCACCTTTCGGCCATCCGGGCTCCAAATTGGCAAGCGGTGCAGCTGAGAATGGAACCAAATGGAAACGAGACTTCCGCTCAAAACTGAGTTCTTCGCCTTCGTGAAGAAAAGACACAAGGCGACGCCAAACATTGGAACCCTCCCCCATCTGCAAGATGAGGCTTGAATTCCCGCTCAGTGCCTTGGTGCCCAGCCATGAACCATGGACCCAACCTTCGACTTCAAGAATCATGCCATGAATGCCAAAGCATTACCAACCTATTCTGTCAGCGTTGCGCACATCCCCGCAGCTTGCTCATCCTCTAAATTCCCCGTCGAGTCCATGACCATCCCTACCAACCCCAATCAAAAGGGCGTGTTGAGTATTGACCATGGCACATGCGGATGTGTCTCAAACTAGGGGACCCGCGAAAATGGCGGGCTTCCCTGGTGTCTGCTTCCGTCAGGCCGCAGGGCCAGCTGCGGAACCAGCGGCGCCAGTGCGAGGCAAAGGACGCCTGGCAGGGGTTGAAACCACCAGGATTGGTCCCAAGATGGCAGGGCAGAAGTTTGGCAAAGGACAGCCACTCGAAACGCAATCAACGATTTCTACCTATTTGAGATTCGGAGCAACCCTTTCCACGCGGAACCCTCAGAAACAAGCGGGAAACTAAAACCTGGTAAAGTCTGGGATACAGAAGAAACTCTAGAAAAATCAGATAAAGATATACAGCTGATTCTCCCTAAGTTCTATCCCGTCTGTGTCTACCAATGGGGGAGAGAATGGATGGGTAAGACCGAAAGGCACCGGGACGTTCCACAATCTTTCACCTGCCCGTTTCTGGAGGAAAAGCTGCTTGGGGAGCATCAGGACCATCCACCTGCCCGTTTCATGTCCAAGCCAGGGGCCTTTGGATCGGATGGGCGCGTCTCTGGGCTCCATTGCAAGCGCTGCTTAAAAAACTGTGCACACCTTAGGGGGAAATCAGGCCATGAGTGTAGTTCTTCGGGTGGGGAGGTGGGTAGGGGGTTGGGGTCCTGACACAAGTCAGCCCCGTGTAACCGCTTGTGCCCGTCTTCTACCCTTCATACTGTTTGGTAGGCTCAGCCAAAAGCTGCGGCGATCTGGGCATAGGCATCTCCAGTTTGCGATTTCACTAGCATACATGATTGGTTTGCAGTTAAGAATCTAGATGCCCCATCACCTTTGTCATTTAGCACCAGCTTCCTTTGCGCTAGCACTGGAGAAAGCTTTAAACATGAGCACGGAGAAATTTATTGCTTCCCCACAAAGACAGGGGAAACTTAGGCGGGTCCCTTGTTTTGGCACATCCCCAAGTTGAAGAGTTCTCTCAAACAAGACCGGCGCAAAAGGTACATTCGGGTCGGCGACGAGTGTGTGGTGATTTCAGCGCATTGGCACTTCATGTCACTCCCCCAGCCTTTGCAATCAGTTGTGGCAACCTCTGCTGAGTGAAGTCACATACTATTCAGTATTCAGTAGGGCCTGGCAATTCGGCTGGAATTTTGTCTTGGAAACCCTGGCGTCATCCACAGACCGACATGATTCTGCTGGGTATGGATCAATGAAGGGCCCCTCCAAATTTTACATGACATACTGTTGGGAGCCAAAAGTCGAGTTTCAGTTTCAGTTTCAAGCAGGGATCATTTAGAAGACTCCTCTTGCAGAGCCATGTCCACAATTCTAAGACCCCACCTGAAACAAACATATCTTGTCTACAAGCCATGGGTATTTGGGATATGCACCCTGGCTGGAAGTCAATAAAGCCCCTCCCCCCAAACAACTGGGGATCACTCCATTGAGAAAACAATATTTGAAGAGAAAAAAGCACCAACAAGGGGTAATCTGGGGGTCGGATTTGGTTCCTTTGAGCAGTCGAGTTAGCATCCAAGCTTGCTCTTTCTTCATTTGGGTGGCGAAAAGGTGTGGGGCGTGTCCTTTTTGTGCTCTCAGTTGCATTGATCCCACAACCAGGGGGAAGTTTGGAGAGCTCTGGGGCACCCAGGCGGACTGCAGATTGACGTCCGCCTTCTCGGCCACCAGCAGCCTCATGTTTTTGGCTTACCCCAAACCGTCTGATATTAAAATGAAGATTCTCCCTTTGAGGGAAGCCCTCCTTCTGGGCCTTCTGTGACATTAGAAAAGCCATACCTTAAAGCATGGCTTCCCTCAAAGGGAGACCTCCCTTTCGGCTTCATTTTGAAGATAATCCTTTAAAAAATGAGAGATGTAGTGTGAGCTCTCTGAGCTCTACAACAGTTTGGGTCAGAAGTGCTGGCCAAGTAGGCTGCCGCCTGTGGCTCAGATTTTGCCCCCCCCCCCCTTCCTTGGGGCCAATTTTTTGAAGGGTTCAGGTAAAATGTCTACTTTGGAGGACTTCAACCGCGGCATACATGTTTAGGTTGAGGCTAAGGGCCCCCCAGGTGGAGAAACTCCCCAAGAGCTTCCATAGACCCCTTGTTCCGCCTCATCGGAGGTGCTAACATGGGCGTGGCCTGCACGCCGCGAGGAAAAAAGGGCGTCCAGGTCCGATCGCTTAGCGGAAACTCTGTGTGGGTCATTGTCAAACACATGGACGTGCTTCTTCAGGACCACGCTTTTGTTTTGATGTTGTTGTTGTCAAAGGATGCGATGGGCTGCAGGTGACCCTGGTTGCAAGCCACTTGGGGGACTTTGTAACAGGGCTAAACGGGTTATAAGTTATATGCAGAAATCCGACCGAGCCACTTACTAAGCAGCCCCACCTGGGTTCCCATTGTGCAAGCCCCCTCCCCATCCAAAGCTCCCCCCAAAGATATTAACTATGACCATAATTTGTGAATCCGGGTCTTCGGGTGTTCAAATAAGCCCAAGGCCAACATTTGGGAGATTCTTATTTGCTCCCCATGCCCATTGACATGCAACCCAAACCATGGTCCCAAAAAAAAGGAGGTTGCTCAGTGAATGAACCAAATGGAGGGGGCTCCGCGTTCCGTCAGCTGGGGCAAACCACCGTGTTCATCTGGGGAACAGTCCACCGCTCCCCGTCCCAAAGCCACCCCACGCCTCAGTAGCTCTGGGCGCTTCCCGCGCGCCGCCAGGTGCAGCGCGGTCAGGCCCTGCTTGTCCTCTCGTCTCGGAAAAGCCGAAGGAGCCGGCGGGAAACCCAAAAACGCCGTCTCCCAAATGAGGGAACCTGGCCCAAAAACCATGGGGGAAAGTGCCAGTGTCCATTTGCGGCCCTAAAGAAACACACGCAACAGGTGCACGTCTTTTTGGAGATGGAAACCTTTTACGTTGGTGTAAAAGAGAATTTGACAGGAAACCACCCATTTTGGGGTTCCTAATTTAGAGACACTCCCCAGATAGGAACCTCCTGTTCTTTTTGGGTGTCTTTTTTTACGGGAGCCTGCAAACCCACCGAATCGCGGGTTCCCTACTTTCAGAAATCCCACGCGCTTGGGCGTTTGTCTACAGGATTTGTTGGTATTACCTCCTCGTTACTTGTCACGGAAACCCGGGTACTTCAAAAAGCGGGCGTGTCTTTGTGTATTTGTGGGTGTGTGTCTTGTTTTAATTGGTGCTCTTGTCAAGCAAATCTAAAGGCAAACTCAGGGGAAACCTACCATTTTGGAGTTGTCCCATTTCCTTCCTGGTGGATGGACTGCTTCGGCCCCTAGCTCCCACCTCAGCATTCCATGCTTGTGTGCAGCTTATGAGTCACAATAAAACCTGAGAGTGCCCAAAAACAGTGGTAAAGATGCGCCCCTATTTGTGGCTGGGGGTATCCCCCCACCGAAGCTTCGCTTAACTGAATTGACTTTGATTCTGGCTCCTAACTTAAACAGTTGAAGTGAGCAAGATGCTCAGGCCACGCTGCAAGACGAGGAAATAAGCATTGCAGCTCCTTTGTTCCGCGCACCGCACTTGCCAACTGCAACGCACGCTGGCAAACCATAATTTGGAGCCTGCAGCTAAGCTGAAGCTTCAAGCGGTCGCCGGTTGCTTCTTCAAGCAACAGGACCGTTGTCCAACTCTGGAAATAACTGCTTCCTTTTTTCCATTGAAGCACCTGGGGGTTTCACTTGATCAAGCGAGAAATCTTCATCCTGAGGTCGCACATCATCCAAAACCCAAGGTCGCGATGTCATTGCCCAACGATTGGCTTGCTTGTTGCTTCCCTTGAGGCACCAAAGGTTTCACAGGGGTGGAACCAAGTTGATCAATTGACAGGGGTGCGAAGCGAAAGTGCCACGCGCCTTTGATCCAGCCTTCAGACCCAAAGGCCAAACATGAGCCCGTGTGCTTGTTTGAGTTGGTACCCAATTTGGAAAACACTAGGGAAACTCCCAAATGGATTAGGAGGGTGTGCCCCCGGAAAGTCGTAATACTCAACCAGGGCTTGATTCATTCTGGCTTCCTGTTAAAAATTAGACAAATATGACCTGAACCCACACTGCAATTTGGACAAGGGTTCGCTCGGCTCGGGATTTGGTTGGGCCCCCTTCAGCTTTGTTCGACCCGGTAGGTCACATCGACAGGTCGGGGCTGGAGAAAAAAAGCAAGGCTGCGTGTCAACAGCATCCTTTGGTCGAGCTGAAGGGGGGTCCCAAAACTTGATTCGAGTTGGGCGCCACCAACCCAGTTGGCAGGCTTGCGCGTTGGTGAATCCAAAGGCACCAGCGGAAGCGCAGCGGTCTATAAGAAACCGCCAGCAGTTTCTCCACCTTTCAATCAGTCCACGTACCCGGGTTGGAGTCGAACAACCTGCTTTTGACCGTCCTTTCAAGAGGTTCCGTGTAATGACTGGCTCTTTTTGTACCAATGGTATGACCCACCCTCACTTGTATGCTTGACAGACCTTTCGCACGAAAGGACACCAGGGGTTTCCACACTCGAAAGATGCCTCTCACACCGTGAACCACTGCCCCTCGATCGCGTGGCTCGCCAGGGAGGGCCAGTCTTGCAAGCCTCAATTCCAAGGAAATCAAGGGGACCCGGATCCCATGCATCGTCCAACCAACAGAACCCCGATTTGGGGGGAGGGGGTACCTAACTGAATTTCCCTCTAGACACGAAAAATCAACTTGTACACGTGGGGGGATACAAAAGAAACCTGGTGTTGCATGCATGAACCAGCTATATTACCTCTTCTAATGCGGGGTGCAGGTACCGAGTACCAACCTTTTGGAATACCGGATCGGGAGTTTCGTGCATAACGCAAACATATGCTCCCTTGAAAATTGGTGGGGGATTCAAAATGCACGCATGAAGCAGGAATGTTTCACACAGGGCGTTAAATTGGGTGACTTTTGTCCGAGCCATTTTCGCAATCCCAATAGAGCGCCTGAGGCCTAATACGGGTTCTGTTGGGGCCCACTTTTCAGAAGGTGTTGGTGTCAAGGGAATCACTACATGTTCGGGGAATATAAGGCACATAGTAGCTATTTCCTTTGGGGGACTGAAAGAACAAGCCTGACCAGGGTCATATCAAACCCACTCAAAAAGCAGGCACCATTTCGATGGAACACCATGACGCAATGCAGAAGAGATCTCTGCAGAAAGAGAAAACAGAAACCCCCGCTCTTCCAGAAGGGAAGCCACGATTGAAGGGCCCAGAACAGAGCAGCCTGAGGCAGGGCATCGAATGAAGCTGGTAAAAATTGGACGCAAGCCCCAGCTATATGAGGTTCAATGGGAAACACCGGAACAGCCTTCAGATTAGGTGGTGGACATGAGAAGTAAAGAACCTAAATTCCGCCAAAGGGTGCTTTGACATTTGAGATTTTTTGTCGACACAAATTGGGGCATCAGCACTTCCAACTCACCCTGCAGATTCATGCAATGTTCCTGAGTGTGGTACGAATCCCAAGACCCTAGACCCCAAATGTCAATCCATCTCGGAGACCTCAAAACAGAGGCGGAATGTTCTGAAAAACCAGGTTTTCTTCCCACTGACCTCGGTTCGCCTGGAATCAAACCCCAGCAACTCCGTCAGGGCCATCTCCCTCCCGTCTCTCCAAGCTGCGGCCGTGGGCGGGGTCCTGCGAGAGAAAGGACTAGGAAAGCCGACTGCATTCAGAGCCCCCCCAAATGGGACATATGAGGAGGGGGGAGGGGAAGGGGCAACTCCCCCCTTCGAATTCACACTGAACCTAAAGGGAGTTTCCTCCGAGTTCCAAAGGTATTCCAGGGTTGCTTCCCAAAGAACGAGCATCACAAGCCTTGGAACCCTTGGTGTTTCATGGGTGTAAACCACTGGGAAACCAAAAAGACAGATTTTGCAAATCCCATGTCCAGGACAGCTCGAAAGCCCGGAACCCGGGCGGAGCGAGCAAGCCTCCCACAAGCTCAGCGGGTGCGCGTTCCGCGCCGCCTCGGCCATGGCCAGCTGCGCCTCGCACCCGGACCTGGCCATTGGGGCTGGGAACCTTTCTCCGGGAATTTTGGACAGATGGCCGTGGGTCAAAACCGTTTTGGGATCCCATTTTGGGGTAGGTGAATTCACCACCCATCTTAGAACCTATTTTGGTGGGGGGATTGGGATATTCACTGGGGGTGCGGGTTCACTGCAAGATTTCGACCCGTGGCCATATCTTTAAAGAGGGGCCTTAAAACGGGGAGAGTTGGTCCTTACCCTTTCAAAGTGGCCAGAAGAAAGGCCCAACCAGTGCCATGGCCTCACCAAGTCCCCATCCCAAACCCCGCGGCTCCGCCCTACCTGCAGAGGCGCCGCACATTCGCCGCCACCAGCGTGGCCGCGTAGGCGTAGCCCTCGGCGCCATGGCTGTCCCCGGCAAGAGCGGCCTGCGCAAATCCAGGACAAACTGCGTGCCCGGGCCACATAGAACCATCATCATGATTTGAAGAAAAACTTCAAAGGAAGGAAAACCTCAAAACCAGGTTTAAAAAAAAAAAAGCAGCAACACGGCAAAACCCGCAACAAAAACATTTGAAAGCCCTCATGTTGCTTGCTGAACCCTGAAAAAACGAAAGGCCTTGGCCTAGCAAAATAGGCTCAAAGTGTGCACCATATGCAGGGGGCCTCAGCTAGGCTCATGCCGCTTTGTTTCATGTCATGTCACTCTGTTTAATCTCATGTCATGTCATGATAATTCATTTTTGTACTCAGATCATCCCTGTGGTCCCCGGCACTGAAGACCGTTGCCCTGAGGCGGAAGTCAGACTACTTCCTGAGGTCTGACTATCACCCTCCGTCCACTGTCATGGAACTCATCCCAAGATCCAATTCTTGCAAGAGCAGCCCGCACCCAAAAGAAGAAAGGCGTATACACTCGCTTGAAGATTCGCCTGGCCGTGGTCAGCTATCAACCTTAAACCGTGTATTTAACAATGTTCTAACATCATCATTTTAGCCACAGTCGAAGATCCAAGACGTTGACCCAGTGGAGCCCCAAAAAGACAGTTCGAACAGGAAACCGGATGCTCCTTGCGGGCTTTCCATGAACACAGTGCCTGGTGCGCTTTCCATGATCCAACACCAACAATGGTGGTTTCATTGTGGGTCCCTTGTGGCATCCTTTTGGATTCCCTTTCAGCCAATCCCTGAAAGGGCCCCCTTGCGAAAGCACACACGGATGATTTGGTTCCAGCACTTCTGTTGTCCGCCGATGCACTGAGAACATTGGTGATGCTGATGCTGCGGTTCCAACGAGTGTGTTCAGAGTCGATGCTTCACATTCGGAACCATTTCGTGTCGGGTCGTCTCCATCAAGGTATAAAAAACAATATGCTTTGAGCTTGGTGGGGACTCCCAACCAAGGCCCCTTGTTCAAACACGGCAATAAACCACAAGTGTTAAAACAACCTTCTTTGGGCTTCCGTTGCAAAGGGAACCTTTGAAAGGGACCGCTTGGGCCTGGTGTAAACCAATCCTACCCAACTGAAGCGACTCTTCAGACGCGGCGCTGCCTTTGGGTTGATCTTGTCCTCAGTGGCTTCACTTCCCAGGCCACTTGATACGGGAGACAACTTGCCAGTCTCCATGATGTGAACCTCACGGCCTCATGGCTTGCCTTCGTTGCCTTCGGGCCCCGTCTCGAATTCACAACATGGTTTGGACCCAACAAGCCGAACCCATCTGAGCGATCATAATCCTGTGACCGAAGCGGCTCACGGCTGCTCCCAAACAGAGCCCCCCAAACTTAGTTCATACCTCCACGCATCCCTTTTAAATCGGGCCATGGGACAAAAAGCTGCCCCTTCTGGTGGTTGATGTTGAAGGAACCCATTTACTCGTGTTATAAGTCCTCGATCCGTGAAACGCCAAACCAAAGTGAGCCATAGTCAAAAAAAAGCCTGTACCGCAACAGCCACAGGAAAAACTTGGAAGTCCCCCTGTTTTGTGGGAAGCTTAGAGCGTCCCAGGTCCTTCCCCTAAAATGGACCATAGACAGGTCGGGGCATTTTGGCCGAACCTCACATGCACGTGAAACGACGAGCTGCGGTGCCGGTGCGGATCAGGCCCTTCAGGTCCACAGCATCCTTTGGAAGAGTCGAGTTTTAAGCGGGTTCGGGTTTTTTAGGGTAGTATTCTGGGGCTGCTTCAAAGGAAAAGCGACGACCAACCATCCCTTTTGGGCTCTCCCCCCCTATTTTAACATACAACCAAAGTGATATGGGAGGGGGGTGGGTAGAAGGGAGTACATGGAAACCTGCCCTCTTGGAGTGCGCAGCAACCCATGCTTGTTGCAGGGGCCTTTTGACCCCAGTCTCGCCGAATCAAGGGCCCGTCCCTTTCTGGGCGCTTGAAGCGAAAAAGGGGAAAGGGGAGGCTCCTGACTAAAAGCGTGGACCCACTACCCCCCGCCCATTAAAAAAGGAGTGTTTTGCGGGGGGAGTTAAAATGGTTTAAAGCTCTGAAGGGTGGCAACACTCTCTGCATGACGGAGCTCCCAAAGCCGCAGGAAAGACTGTTTTTTCACCAATCAAAAGTAAAGGACGTCACTTTCGCCAAGTTGCGGGCAGCCTCGGGGGAAAGGTCAACACAGAGAGCCAAATCGAACCCATTCATTTTTGGGATTCCCCATTTCGATGCAAACGAATAGAGGGTTTACTTTTGAACTCCTCCAAGCAAATGGAAAGTACATGGAGGCCGCAAACTAATTGAGGTCCTCCATTTAAGAGACAAAGCCCATAAAGCTTTTTGAACTGGATTTGTTCGTTCGGGCAGAAGTCCTCGAACTTTGGCTTGACTTGGGTCAAAACCTATACAAGGAAGACAAAAGTAGCAAACCCCCAGAGAGATCCTCGAAAATGAGATCCATCTCAAAGAGCAAAAACAAAAAACCCACAGCCCAACGAACGACCTTCGGAGAAGGTCCAGATCGATCTAAGAACTCTTCCGGGTAGGGGGCACTCAACATCCAGGCTTCGCAGCTGTGGTTGTGGAAAGGGAAACCGGGAAGCCAACAGCAACACGCACCAAAAGCACCACACAAGAAATCGCAAGCGGGAACGCGACAAAGTCCAGCAATCAAACAGCAAACACAGAACTCAGAAAGCAGCAAGACAAACGACAGAGCACAACATGCCATGTACAGGAGAGCACCGAAGAAATAGTAATGCATCAAGGGTCAATGTAGATGGCGTTGGGGAAATCCGCGTTTCCACCCGCAGAGTAGATGAGGTCCAGGACCCTCCTGGGCTTAACCCCATGCCTGTGGAGCTCTTGATGGTGGATACTCCACCTTAAATCAACATGCATGGGTTTTGGGTAGACCTCATTCCAACCAGATGTTGATTATGACTCCGTACAAGTTGAAAGTAGGCAATCTGGGGTATACCAATTGATTACTCCTCCCGCAAGAAATAGTAACATGAAACCCAGAGAAAAAGCTCCAAAAGCAAAATATGTCAAGGTAGATCGTTCTTGAGGTTCCAGGTTAATCTGCAAAGTCAGCTACCACCACTACCAACCACGTAAAGAAGACGGATCCACCCCACATCAAACCTCCGACATCTCATCGGAGTCGAGTCATCGGAGCGTCTGGTTGTAGTAGTTCGAAAGAAGTCCCCAGTCCATCAGCGCCTTGGGGCACCAGGTCATGTTCGGCACCTGGCCGCTCTCCGCGCACTCCTCCGGCTGAAGGGAAGAGGCTGGGACCAACACCCAGAAGGTTGTTGGGTTGGTTGAATGAGGTTGGTTGAAGGGGACGGCTTGAAGACTTACAGCTGTGCTGGTTGAAGGGGATTTCTTGATGACGAGTTGCGAAATCTGCAAATTTGAGGTAGGCCCTCTGAGACAGGTTTGCCTTTATGGGGGCCACCTTCGAGGGCCGAATCGGTATTGTAATGTACTCTGGTCAGAAAAACAGAATTTGGGTCAAGGGGTTCACCATGTTTCACAGGCGACGACTCCTTTTTGCAGCCAAAAGCTGGGGTTGCGGCGGATGTCCTTTGTGAGACTGAATGTGTGAGCCCCTGGACCCTGGTATGAACCCCGTGTTTATTGGTGAATTAATCACTGGTCAAAATAGGATATGGGTTCCTACATGGCCATATACAATCAGCCTTAAATGACATCCCCATGAGTAGCTTGTCCCGTTAAAGGGGATTCCCTTGGTCACTCATTGAAACTGGTCACTGTTCGAAGGGCTCCCTGTCACACACCGAAGCCTGAAAACATTGCCCCTGTCGATCGCACATGTGCCATGGTGAAACTGTCCCTTTACTCGGGGTAGGAACGGTGAATCTCTAGCGGTTTAGACAACCGACGCAAATTCCTATTCACGGAACCATGGCCATGACCCACATTCGCAGTTTTGATCATGGCACATGTTTGACGCCTAGAAACATTGGCAGTGCGTAGGCAGGCGTATGTAAAGGGCTATACGAGTGACCATAGGACAAAGGACCATCAATGGTCCATAGGACCTACGGACGCAGGAGAGCATCAGATCAACAAGGTTTCGGCCCAGTGTGCCAAGCGAACCCCGTTTCAATCCGTCAAAGTAAGAATGGGAGTGTGTGTTTCCCCCGTTCAACCCGCGCCTTAGAACCACTGACCACTGATTCATCCGGAATGATCTGTTGCAGTGCCTTCTTTCCAACAATTCTGGAAGCCCCCGCAAAGGATACCAGCTGGGGCCATCAAAAAATAACCCAAATACACGCTGATTTGGACGGCCCGCACTTAAAGCAGGTGATTCTTGCATGCATCACTTCAGAGAACCCCATCCCGTTGGTTGTCCTTGAAACACCCAAAACTGCTCCAAAATTGTTAGACAACCCCAAATAAAGATGAGAGACCAACAACAGGGGGCCTATATCTAAAAACTTTATATCATGCACACAAACACTGCTGGGAGGCGGCAAGGCTGCAATTAGCCTAGAGGGTGTCCCACAAGAAGGAGCGCCATTTTGTTGTCCCCACGCTTGTTCAATTGACCCAGCAATAGGTCAAAATGTTGAGAACAGGTATTCAGGCATGGTCATTTAAGTGTTTCAACGGTGGTTCCATTGGTGTACTGGGTGTTGGCCAACTTTATGAAGAGAAGGATCCCTGAAAAGAATGGGGAGGGTACGGCTAGAAGGAGGGGCAACTTCCACAATAGCTCCTTGGTCCACTTCTTATGGGTGCCGAACACATCCGGCAGGAAGTGAATCCTCGGCTGGGTCCAAATCAGAGCCCGTTGTCCGTGCACTGAAAGCCGGGTCAACTAGACAGGTGGCCGCAACGACTATTCGGATTGGCAATGTCCCCACTAGCGTAGGTCTCGTGATTGAAAAGCTGGCACTGGCAAATAATTCGAACCAAACTGAAAGCAGTGGAGGCCATCTATGTTCATCCAGTTCTTAGCCTGCATGCCCACTTGTGCCCTTTGTCCAGAGGAAAGGAACCTCGTCCGGCTAGAAGTCGCAACATGTCAAAACGAGTTGAATTGACCCCTCCAAAACATAGGTGTGAATGATTAATTCCACCTTTAAGTTTATGACGTGACGGGAGTCCTTTGGACACGCCTAAACAAAATATCCAGAGCCATGTCGAGGGATCAGTCGCACGTCACCTGCGGCAGATTAGGGAGACACGCCATGGCAAGATCTATTGGACAACGGAGAGTTAAGCCGAGCAAACAAACCCCAACATGGAACGAACGAAAACGCGCCTGAAACTGAAGCCATCCATCTGAAAGCAAACATCCAAACATCCCCCCGAAAGTTCCCAAAATCCAAACCGCGCACATGCACACAGCACAAGCTGTCCGCTGCGCCTTCACAGCTCCGAGTCGCTTGGCCGCGCTCTCGATGGCCGTTTCCGAGGAGCCCCCGGCAAGGCTGACCAGTAGGAACTTGTCCTGCAGGGCTAGGGTTGGGCAAGATTGGAAGCAACATACTGTGGATGGACGAAATCCACTTCGCACCACCCAAGAAACCATAGAATGATTCGATTCCCCTGTAAATACCGACAAACCATGGTTTCAACCATGGTTTCAAAGTGGTGCAGGATTGCGTCCATCCACAGTATGGTCCCCATTAATAGGGAAACCGAAAGGAGATGCCTGGGCTGGCTACCTACGGAAGCCTCTACAACTTGAGTCTCCCTACATATCCGAGATTGCCCGGGTGAATACGCTGCTTTTGTTAGCAAGATGGGGGTTGATCAAAAGGCAAAAGTTCCTTTACAAGGAATGAAAACTTGTCCGTGGTCAATTGGGGCCCCAGGAATATGGGTATCAATCAAAGTTAAGCCACTAGGGGACCGCAGGTTTAGTCCATGTGTCAATTTACCAGGGTTCTATTTTGGGTCCCAATTTTTGACCCACAGCCATATTGATCAACTCCAGAGTGGAATATGGCTTACACAAGGGGCTGAGTCGCCCTCCCCTGTCCTGGGCCTTGCTTGCTGCCAGCTTGGCGGCGCCTGGCGACGGGCGGAGGAAGCACCCCCGAAGCCAACGGAACGAAAACACGGAATCGATCTGCCCGAGACCAAAATGGGAATCTAAGCAACCAACAACCAAAAGATCTATAAAGATTCGTCAACCTAGTGGATTTATGGAGGCCCAATGAAAACAAACAATTGTTGATGCTGCCAATCAGCACGAGGCTAGAGAATTGGCAACCCTGATAAAAACGAAACCAGTTACCAATGTCTGGCCTTGGGTTAGATCGGGCAACGAGAAAAGAAGATCTACAAAGGTCTTATTCAGGGTTTCATGGATTTCCCATTTACACGTCACAGCTGAAGCAAAACTTTAGACTTACAAGCACCGGAACTGCTCCCTCGGCTTCTCGCGCGCCTTGTCTCATAAACTCAGCAGCCTTCACACCTGGCATGGCGCAAGTGCAAAGGTACCACCCCCTAAAGACCCCTGAGACCTGAACCGGTAAGCCCTGATGTAGCCTGAGCTGCCCGCAAGCTTGTCCAGGCTTTCTTACAAGGACAAGCCACAAGAGCAACCACCACTGCAGCCGTCTTCCAAGAAATGCTGCTCGTGCTTGCTTGCAACCCAAGCCATGTTGACTCTGACCAATTGACAAACGCACAACTTACAAGGTAGTCATCAGGGTGGTCCTTGTGATTCTCTTCTTCCTGAAACCCCCAGAATAACCCTTCCCACCGACGCAGCACTTGGGGGAAAGGACCCTGAAGGCCAATTTCATCTTAGAGGGAGATTTTACCCGGCATGAATCAGGGGTCAACGTTGCCTCTTTTCCGCAGATTACATTGGTATCTTTGTGTGGAGGGTACCCTCTTGGGGGGTTTGGTGGGGGGCCTTGTGTGTCCTTTAGCTTTTGTATCTCAGGAAATACGCCTCATTTAGGGCGTCTTTTCCCCTCATTTACCCCCTACTTGTTGAGGGATCTGGCCTAATTGATCTGTAGCGACCCTTTGATCATCCCGATTGCATGCACGCTTCCAGAAACTATCTGACAAGTTGACCACTGCGTCTGAAACTAATCTTGAAAATCACGGGCTGATCACCCACAGTTGTGTTTCAGACCAAGACAGCAACTTCAGCAGAGATCACACAGCAGAAATTATATCCCCCCCACTTGCGTGGGACAAATGGGTGAATGCGTGCTTCAAAGTTCTAGGTTGAGCAGAGGTCCGTTGCAAGTACACATCATCCCACCTAAAGGAAATTCCTCTGAAATTGGCCGCTTCAAGCCATGTTCATGTTCAAACCCGTCAGGCTGAATTCAGTACGCCTGGTAGGGAGCACAGACCCCTTTCTAAAAGGAAAGAAGTATTCCAAAGATGCTCTGTGCACCTAGTAAGGGACCTTCATGACGGGTGAGCTTGTTCTACTCCCAAATGAGCTCCTTCCAATTCTGCCCGGATGTGCGTGCGAGGGGAGCTTACAACCCACTTGGGGGACTTATAAAAGGCATAAGTGGGTTATCACCAGGGTCGCTACTCCCCCAAGTCCCTAATCGATCGCCTCAAGCTCCCACGAGCCAAGCGCCGAGCTGCCACGCCCGGAGCTGAGCAGCTGGTTGTCGATGCTGCGGGCGTCCACGGCCAACGGAGAGCTCTTCGTGCTCTCCGCGTAATCCGCGGCGAACCAAATCACGCGCCTCGGCCGAGGGTGGTGTTGGCCCAGGCGAAGGAAGGCGCTGGCCCAAAATGCAAAGCAAAGGGAAAACGCGGAGGTCCGAAGGCGAGGTCCAAAAAGAGTGGGTGACCTCTTGTCTACTTCCATGCCCAAAATACAACCCAGACCAAATCACTTGTTTCCCAAAGAGGACATGGGACAAATGAGTAAGTCCCTTGTTGCGGAAACTTTGAATGGGCCCCCTATGTGCTAGCAATAGACTCTGCCAATGACTTTGTCAGTTGCTCATCTGCCAAAAACTGGGGCCACTTTCAGCCAAGAATCTCGCAGGTAACAGCCAAATGCGAACAGGGAACACACTGGCCTCTTGTTTTGGTTGAGTATCCAAATATTCTGAGAGGGAACAAGGGAATCTTCCAATTGACATGACGTCTATCTTTTTAAGTGAACCATCCTTTTTAGAATCAATCTGGGGGTGTTCTCAAAAAGGGAGGACAACCTTTGGGTTGGTGTTGCATATGCAACCAAGGAGTATCCCCAACCAATTCATTTCTGGGATGTGATCCGCAAGTATGCAACTCTTTCAGAGAACCAACTTTTGCAGCCAACAGAAAATGCAGTTTCTTGGGGGGGGGATTATTTACTGCCCACTGTTCCATTGGCTCCATACCTGAGGGATCCTATCGCAGCAATGAGGTCTGTTCAAAGCACACGCACTGCGAAAGAACATGGACGATGCCCAAACAAACGCAAGGGATGGGCCACCATGAGGTTTGACTTGGGGCCATCTCCCCTGGGGCTGCTCTATTATACCTCAAGTAGTTTTTAACTCCAAACTTCTCGACGAGCTTCTGATTGCTCGCCTGAAGGCTCGAGATGGAAGTCTCATTCAGGCGCTGGCTGGAGTTGAAGAGGAGCCCTCCGAAAACATCTTGCACCTCACTTCGGAAGAGACCCTTGGTGAAGCTCAAAAACCAACCTTGGGAGGCGTCCCTTCAAAAAGCGACACGCTCAAAGGCTTCCCTTCAGCAAGAATGACACACCGACATAGCTTTCCTTTGAAGAAGGGCTACCAAGTCCACAAGCTTGTTGTTCAGCGTTTGCCCTACGTGTTCCATGACTTACGGTTTTGCTCTGTGGGGGGCATCAGGAGAGGCGGGGTTGGCCCCCGCACGAAGGTCCCGAAAAAAACTGCTGTGAACTAAGCCTTTGCTTCTCTAAACGGAGAAATGGGGGCTACTCCTTGGGGCTAATAACGAACATGCGACTGGGCGCTTGCGCTTGGCCGCTCCCGCGCCTGGCCGAAGAACTTCTGCCGCTGTGCGGGCGTGGTGCCAGGGTACTGGTCCTTGGCGCTCGCGACATGCAAAACCACCATTTTGGGGGGTCACCCTTTTTTGACAAATACCCGTATGGGCGTTCGAAAAAACCAATGAGACCCCTTGCAAATAGGTCGTTAAGATCTAAGTTCACAAAGGGCAAAGGGTACCTTGGTGGCAAATCTCCACTGCTAAGCCCCAGTGGCAGTCTGAGCGTTCTTTCCAAGCAAGTCAGTTTTGGTTGTTTGTAAGGAGGCCTCTGCCCCCCAACGCCAGACATCCCCTGTTAGGATGCGCTGACCGCCAGAGAGCAGAGCACCAATATTTCACTATACCCCACTTGGACCAGCCATCTCGGCCAGCCAAGGTGCTCTGTCATTGCCCCGGACAGCCCCTCTGCCAAATACTCGAAAAACCATTGATTCCGGAAAAACAACACTCCGAACACTGCCTCGCACAGTAGAGATGAGAAGTGGCGCTAAGTTGCAGAGTTGAGGGGGAGGTCCTGTCAAAACTCCCCAAGCTGGTCAGCAGGCCACCGAGGCGTGCACCAGAGGCTGAAGCAATTCTGTAAAATCCCCTTGTCCCACGGATGGCGGGAGGAGTCGTACGTGAATGTATCGAACCGATCATTGCACTCGTCTGTCTCCAAGTCAACCACCCAGGTCATCTCTCCTGTCTCCACGTCCTGGACGACCGTGTATAGATCGTCCTTCCACTCATTTGCCAATTCGTTCCGCGAAACGAACATGCCATGCAGCCGCACGATGGGGAAGAGGTACCATGCGAAGGCCAAAGCATAGGCAAGGTGAATCCCTAAACACAGCTCCGCAGTTCCCAATCTCCACGGCCAGCGCAGCATTATCAGCCAGGTGTCGACTGCAATGCTTGCAACGTCAATAATTAACCACGGAGCAGCCCAGCATCGCAATGAGCTCGCGATGATTTCGCAGCCCCACGGCATTCAGAAGCCAAGCCACCGGCACCAGTGGTCATACCGCCGGATGGGTCTGGGGAACTGCGTGCTTTTGTAAGACCGCTGCGGGTTCTGTTTCAAATCAATGTTGATCATGCCCGGATCGGCCATGGAAGCGCAGGCCATCAGGGCAAACGTGACCAGGTAGACTCCTGCCACAAGCAATCTTGATGTCGACATGGACGCCACTCGCCGTGCGTCTTGCCATCGTCACTCTGCTCAGGCTGCGCGACAGCAGCGCGGGTGACGTCGGTGACATCGATATGAGCCCCCGATACGTCAAGGGTTCTTCTACTGCCCCTGAGAAATCTTCGAACACAAACACAAAATGCGCGCAGCGCTGGTCTTGCAAGAACAACTCTGAGCTGCTGCAAAGTTCCAAACCTCAAGATTCGGGTTTTTCATGTCTAGCGCCATAGGTTTCAACCATGTACTCTTGAAAAGGATAACCAGGCTGTTTCAACAGCCTGCAAACTTACGGGGCAAGCCCGAAAGGAAGAAAAGAATTGGAGCCCTTTTATTCCACTTTTCTGGGCGCCTGCCCAACGGGAGTTCCTGCTGTTCAACATGAAGCCTGCTAGTTGCAGCCAGTGCCAAAAATCCATATACTCTGTGGGATGGCACAAGGATCAAGGATTGACTAAACAAACCAAAGGGACCACTCTTTGGTTGATTCCAGTTGTGGGCAACCCACCAAACGACCAGGCAGGGACCAACCGGCACTGACTTAAGGCTGGGTCAAATGCTCCAGGCCCACCTCGCGGCTGTTGACTCCAGACTTTTGGTAGTGAATAACCAAACCAGCCCCAAAAAACACAAAGGAAGGCAAAGAAATGCTCAATATTCAGCGGGAGTCCATGAAGACGACATAAGGAAAAACCTTGAAGGGTTCAGAACAAAGAAACTGAAGCAAACAAACTGGGAAACAACTGTGTGTGAGTGTAGCGGATGCCTACAACTGGACAAGTACTATGCGGGGGCTACCCGAATTATTTTCTTTTGATGTTGACTCAATTTGGTCTTAAACTAAACCACAAACCCGTTTCTTGTTATATACGCACTTATAGTATGCGGGTGTTGTTAAAAGATAGAAGGTCCTACACTGGTTGGTTTGATTGTGTTTTCCCTCAAAAACTATACGAAAGGGGGCCCCTAACTGTTGAACACATCTGTAGGCCCTTTCATGAACCCGCCTGTTATGGTTTCCCAGTTGGCCAGTGACTCTGGAAGAAAAAACCTTTCTGGGCTTGACTATGTGCAGCGGGGAATCCGCGAAACAAAAAAGTGCCAGTCAACAATTGGGCCGTTAAAATCTAATGTTCACAAAGGGCAAAGGCTACCTTTCATGGCAGATCTCCACCGCTAAGCCCCAGTGGCAATCTGAGCGTCAGTTTTGGTTGTCTGTAAGGACCCCAACGCCAGACATCCCCTGTTAGGATGCGCTGACCGCCAGAGAGCAGAGCACCGATATTTCATTATACCTCACTTGGACCGGCCATCTCGGCCAGCCAGGTGCTCTGTCATTGCCCCGGACAGCCCCTCTGCCAAATACTCGAAAAACCATTGATTCCGGAAAAACAACACTCCGAACACTGCCTCGCACAGTAGAGATGAGAAGTGGCGCTAAGTTGCAGAGTTGAGGGGGAGGTCCTGTCAAAACTCCCCAAGCTGGTCAGCAGGCCACCGAGGCGTGCACCAGAGGCTGAAGCAATTCTGTAAAATCCCCTTGTCCCACGGATGGCGGGAGGAGTCGTACGTGAATGTATCGAACCGATCATTGCACTCGTCTGTCTCCAAGTCAACCACCCAGGTCATCTCTCCTGTCTCCACGTCCTGGACGACCGTGTATAGATCGTCCTTCCACTCATTTGACAAATCGTTCCGCGAAACGAACATGCCATGCAGCCGCACGATGGGGAAGAGGTACCATGCGAAGGCCAAAGCATAGGCAAGGTGAATCCCTAAACACAGCTCCGCAGTTCCCAATCTCCACGGCCAGCGCAGCATTATCAGCCAGGTGTCGACTGCAATGCTTGCAACGTCAATAATTAACCACGAAGCAGCCCAGCATCGCAATGAGCTCGCGATGATTTCGCAGCCCCACGGCATTCAGAAGCCAAGCCACCGGCACCAGTGGTCATACCGCCGGATGGGTCTGGGGAACTGCGTGCTTTTGTAAGACCGCTGCGGGTTCTGTTTCAAATCAATGTTGATCATGCCCGGATCGGCCATGGAAGCGCAGGCCATCAGGGCAAACGTGACCAGGTAGACTCCTGCCACAAGCAATCTTGATGTCGACATGGCCACATATGGCTCCAGTAGCTGGCACTGAAGCAGCCAGAAGCAGGCCACGCCTGCCAAAAGCGATGCGATCAGAGTGAACGGCAGGAGAAACGAGGTTTCAAGCTCCGCTTTGTCCTGGGTCTGCTGGGTCTCCGTTGCCCCAGATAGCTCCGTCACCACAGTTCGGGGACTGCCAACGTCAGATTCAGCCACCTTGCCGACCCTTCCCTCCAGCCATTGCAGTGACATGCCAAGGCCGCTCCGGGAGGACCAGCTTCGCCCCATGCCACTTGCCGTGCTTCTTGCCATCGTCACTCTGCTCACGCTGCGCGACAGCAGCGACGCGGGTGACGTCGGTGACATCGACATGAGGCCCAGATACGTCAAGGGTTCTTCTACTGCCCCTGAGAAATCTTTGAGCTGGCAAACAGAAAGACAAAATGCGTGGAGTGTGGTCTTGCTAGAACAAGTCATGGGTAAGTGCCGTAGGTTTCAACCGTTCACGGCTGTTGACTCCTCGAAGTATTCGGTGGTGATGAATCAGTCCAACCAGCCCAAGAACGAAAACAAATAGGGAGTTAGAGAAAAGAGAGCTCAACAATACCCAAATCCGTGAAAGAGGTGAAAAGGGAGTCAACAGAGCAAAATCCAACCAAAAACCACGAGGGTCGGAAAAGCAAACCAAATAAAATGGAATTCAGAGAAACACTCAAGGGAGTAGGGAGTCCATGGAGAAGACATAAATACAAACCTAGGGTTCAGAACAAAGGCCCTGGGACCTTCGCCTTCTCTGGCCGAGACACCGTGCCAGTGGTCTCGGGGTTTCCGTGGCGGGAAGCCCACAGCACGACCACCTCCTTCGGATGCGCCTCGAGCCTCAGCCAGTCATCGGAATGTGTCAAAGTAAGCGAGCCATGGCTTTCCCTTTGTTTCACCCTCAAAAAGACACATGGGTACATGTACATACGAGCCATGGGGCAGCCTGTGCCGAAGGTGACCACTAGCGACAGGTAGTGACTCTTAAGAGCCATTCAGCGTCCGTGCCTCCCCACTGCTGTGGCTCTGAATCAGCATCGGACTCGGTTTTTCTTGTGGCTTCACCCCTTGTGGCGTACGGATAATTGTTTTTTGCCCTGGGTTCCAAACCACTCCAGGTAGTCAATCCCTAAAGTAGAATCAAGCAAGAGCCCTGTTGAAATGTTCGGGCTTCAAAACCATTTTCGCCACCTTCTTTAAGATGTTGGTTTCTTCAACTTGCCTGCTGTAAAATACACTCTGAGTGTCTATGGCACTGGGGGTGCCAATGCGCAGACTGCCGCAAGCCGAGCGGCCAAGTTTTCACCTGCTGCAGGTATTGGATGGCCTGGCAGGGCAGTTCAGTCGGGAAAAGAACGGAGAAAAACGATAAAGCAGCAGACCAGAAAACAAACGGAAACAGGGAACACTGGCTAGCCCCCTTCCAAAAAGGAAGACACGCACAAGCTAATCCTCCAAGGCAGGAAACAAAGGGAATCGGAACCGGAACCCTGCCTTCAGCCGGCTCTCGCACCCGTGCAAGCAGTACCAGTCTTCGTGCCCGAAAACTTTGTCCGGGCCGGGGGTGAACATAATCCGGAAGTCAATGAACCGGATGCCCCCATCCAGCATGTCCTCAGCTTACACCAGAACTCACCACCAGACCAACCCTGAGGCTGAACGGAGTGAAATAGGGAACCCTCCAACGGCAACAAGTGACAACTTGTTGCTGGTTGAAAATGAACACCACGAGGGTAACCCAAAGGGCAAAAGGCTAAAACAGGGTAGCCTGGGGTGTTCTAAATGTCTCCGATGGAAAACCTCTAAACTGCGTGGATTCTCTTGACTACGGCATGCAGTCAACACTCCCAGTGATGAGACTTGATACCTCAGTCTGGGTGAATTTAATGCCAATATGATAAACGAATTTGTGGGGCCCACGACAGGATTACTTGCATACAGGCTCTAGGTGGGCCAGGACTTCGCCATACTCGCCATCAAAACTTGTGAGGCGCGCGAACAAGGGAAAAAGACAAGGGAACAAGCTACCCGCCAAGCACCCGGATCACTGGGCACGAAGCCATGTCCGCGGAAGTCCAATCTGCAAAGCGGGCACAGGCGTGCAAATGCTTGGATTACTTTGGTTTCCTTTGAACCAGGGTGTTGCCTCAAAAAACACACACGCGCAAACGGGGTTGGTTGCTTGCCCGGCAAATCCAATCTTCGACGGAAGGATCTTTTGGATTGCTCAAGTGCAGCTCAGACTCGGTGACGCTGATGCCTTGGGTTTGGCCTTGCAAAGAGAGCAGGCTCAAAAACCGGGAATGCGGAAAGCAGACGAAACTTCGTGTCGGTGCAAGGTCGATGGGCAGCTTCAGCTGACCGTTCGGGGTTGACTGGGGAGGAACCAACTAGAAGGAAAGAACAGCGCCAAGCAATCGAACGGCCCTGCGTCCTCATCAGGTGGTTCCTTTTACTCCGGGCGAAGAAAGCGATCCCCGGAAGAGAAATCCACTTGACGGGTCCCATTCCGTTCGCAAAAAGCAAAAGGCAAAGCCTGAATGGCTCAGGCTGCGAGATTGGAAGCAAGAGGACGTGGGAAGATTCAGGGGCACCCCCCCCGCCCCCCTCCCCGCTCCCAAACTAACAATGAACCACTGGTAACTTGTCAGCTGCTCATGCAGGGAGGATGCCCTTCGGCAGTTCTCGGGTCTCCTCTAAGACACCACATGAGCCACAAGCAAAACCTCGCATCAAAGAGGTCGACCTACAACCATGAAAAGCATTGGAAGTGCCTGCCTGGGGCTCTTCCTCACTTGCCCGAATCGGTTCTGATCATGGACCAGGTGAGAGATACCGAAAGGACAAAGGATGATAGTCCGGCCTCAAAAACTGCATGGGCGGTTGGGTTGGAACCATCCAAAACAATCTCCACTTTTCGGGAGATTTCTATCATACCGAGCCTATCCACGACCAAGGAGGAAGCATCATTGAACCCCTGAGCCTCGCACAACGCAAGTATGTCCGGTGTCCAAGCGCGGAAGTGCCTGTCCATGTCGATGTCGGTAGGCTCCTTGTTTTGGACCCCCCCCAATCTACCAAAACAAGCATGCCATGAAGGGCATTTGAAGGGAAACAAACCAGTAGTGGAATCCTATTTTGAAAAACACTCACATGTTTGATTCCGGCTCAGTGAAACTTCAGGAGACCCAGCTTTATTCAAGTTGAAAACCCTGGGGAAACCTTCGGCTTCGAGCCTTCGAGCCCCACCTTGGGTCCGGATGAACTTCCCGGCGACCCCCGGGGTCAAGGTGTGGAGAAGCTCCGACAGCGCCGGAGACATGCCCTCCTGGGTCCCAAGGCAAAACCTTTCCCCTTGGAACCAAAAAGCTCCATGTTCAAGGCTCCCCAAAGGTGCAATAAGCGCAGGAAACCTTGTGAAACGGGCCTTGAAAACAAAAACTGGCACGATCTGCGAGCTTAAACATGGACGGGTCGGATGGATGTGTCAGGTTGCAAAAGCAACGCAGGCCTTTCGGTGGGGGACATCAAATGTGCTGACCTTTTTGGGTCCGAGTGTTCGTCCTCTTCCACAATTAAACCAATTATGCCCTACCGGTATTGGTCAAAAACAGGGCCGCTTTCATCTCACCGTCTCTCAAAACATGAAACAACCTGTTTGCCTCCCTTTGCCTGATGACGTAAAAGGGCAGAGTGCTCACACTCGAAACCGCATGAGCAACGAACAAAAATACTTCCCCAAAAGGACACAGGACAATTGACTGGTCTCTCTTCTGTTTGTGCATTCTTTGGGTCCTCCCCAAACCAACTGCATACCAACTACCTTGTCAGCACGATCACCGACAGCTTTCTATAGATGAGAGCCTCCGAGAAAAGGTACCTAACCAAGTTGATAACACACACACACACACACGGGGGGGGGGCAATATTCCTTGTGTTCCCCACCAAGCATAGCAATCGGTCACCAACCTGGGAAATCGGGATGAATATATTGACCGTTGCTTAATCCCGAATCGCTGCTCGCATTCTCTCTGGTTTTGCACTGGCCCCTCCCCGGCAAATGGGGTGGCTCATTTTTATTGGCCTGGGCCACAACGCTTTGCCGTTTGGTTCCACCAAGATGATTCTTACCAGGGCGCCCAGTCACCAAGAGTCCCTGTTCAGCCGGATCAAATTTTATATAGACCTCACAACACCCTTCCACAAACGCGGAAGTGCACAGACTGCCGTTCCAAAGGCGTACAAAAGGTGCACGTGCGCTTGTTTGTTGGGTAAACCCCTTATAAAACCAGGTAGAGCACACACCAAAAGTTGGTGGTGTTGGTCTGCTGCACACTTCCTGGCACAACCTTGGGGTACACCAATACTCAGATTATGTGTCATATTTAGCCGGCCTTAAGACATAAATCATAAAAAAGAGTCGACATCTCCAAATTTACCCTTGAAATGGCCGTTTGAAGGGAACTACCCCAAAGGAATAGTTCTGAGAAACCCTCAAGTTGTGGCCGCGTATTTTTTAATATATATATATATATATGTATATATATATGAAAAAAGAAAAAGAACAACAAAACGAAAAACAGACTTGGGCGCTCTTGGTTACGCCAAGCCGCGTAGTGTTCCGCCAAGGTGTCGCTGAGGTCGTAGGTCATGGAGTCGTGGGTGCCCGGCAGCGAGAGGTCCAGCAGCGAGGCCTTCCTGGGCCGAGTGCCGCGCGCTTCCCAGAAATCGGAGTCGGAAGCCCCCATTTGGTAGGCTTCCCAAAAATGATGGGGATCCTCAAAACAAGGCACCATTGCCCAAAACGAGGTGCGTCATTCCCCGAAATGGGGGGGGTGTCGTATTCCCTTTCCTTTTGAAGCAGCCCCAAACAAAGGCACCCTCAAAACAGGACGCACCCACATGAGCCACGCCAGTTCCTGCAAGGTTTCTAGTTTTTGTGGGGGAATTTAGTGACTCCCTCTTTTCTCGTCCTTCGCAAATGGAGCATTGACTGGACTGTCTCTGACAGGGCAAATTCTGGTTCCCCTTTAAGCCAAACCAAAAAGGTTACCCTCAAAAAAGGACAGACCCATATCCCACCCCCCTCCGGTTTGGTGAAGAAGAATGAGTGGAACGCGTGAGACTCCCCTGGCTGTGGGAGGATTTTGTGAATAGCCTGGTATTTGTAGAGAATGAGGGAGCGCTCTTGGCGCTTGCAGCTTAAATGTTCCCTGGTGTGTTGTGGATTGTGTTTGTTGGAAAATGAGTGACATGTCCTTGCTCCATGTAAACAAAACAATAAGTCTCCCTGGGTGTGGGGGGAATGGGAAGCAACATACACGCAACCATGTGCCAGGGTACGTTGCTTTTTGCAAATGGATCTCAAAATAGATTCTGTCAATGAAGTCGGGATGTTTGAGCATGCTGTTGGCGCAAGGCCCCAGGGTCACTTCTTGAGTCCACTCAGGGGCGCCTCCGTTTTGCTTGAGTGCCGTGCTGTTTGCGTGCTCGTGCGCCCAAAGTGTGGGCCAAAAAACGAACATGTCGACAAAAACCGCTCCAAAGATATGACCCCCAAAGATCCGCTTCTCGTCCGAGCTGCCCGATCACGTCACCCAGCTGCCCCATCCAGTTCCCCAAGTCCAGCTCTGCACTGGCCGAGACCGCGGCCAACGCGAAACCCAAAACCCGCCGCATGGCGCAGGCGCTTTCCCACCGAAACAAGAGTGCCGTCTCGGTGCCCTGACCCGGGTCCCAAATGGCGACGGCATTCGGATCTGGCTCACTGGAGGAAGATGCTAAGCTCACAGGCTCTTTGGAGAGGGTGCTGAGAAACCAAGAACAACTGGCCGACTGTCTCTGCAGGGTTTTGTGGGCATCCCCGAATGCGTGTGTGTGACATTCTTGGGGGGGATCCCAAAAAATGGGTGGGTTTCTCTTTTGGTTTCCGCTGAAACCCAAGCGAAAAGGGGTGCCAACTTAAGGAAGCACTACTCAAACAGAATGGTGCTCAAGTCACATCAAAGTCCTATGCTAATGAATGGTATGTGTGTCTTGATCTCGTGACCAACACTCCCAACCTGATTTCGCCTTCTCAGAGCCCCGGACCCCAACGGACCCCTCCTGCCGGTCCACCGCACCTTTGGCCGCCAGCAAACGCTGCGCCAGCCACACGTCTCCCCGGTGCGCCGCCTCGAGGCGAACGAGGATTGAGAGGGCTGTGGACACACTGTGGATGGTTGCGAAATCCATTTCGCACCACTTTGAAAACCATGGTAAATCATTGTTGGTATTTACAGGAGAATCATCATTCCAGGGTTTCTTAGGTGGTGCGAAAAGGATTTCGTCCATCCACAGTAGAGGCGCAAAACCTGAGGGTCCACTGAGGAACACAGTCCAAGCCAGGATGGTCAGGTTCCATGTTCGTGGGTGGAAGCCATGGTCGGGCAATTCAACCCCGCATTTAAGCCATGGTTTAAGCAATTGTTAAAATCAGGATCAGTTCCATAATTGCGTCCCAACCCTGGAATTGCTGTATGTAAGAAGACCCTCACAAAGGGTACATCCCCAAACGCTGCACGACAAAGCATGGTCAATTACCTAATATGTAGGGAACCAATCATGGAAACTCCAAATAGCAACCCAAGCCACATTCCAAAATAATGGGTACGGCCCCATCACGGTTTGCAATACCGTTAAGAGCGTTGCCCCAAAAATCCAGGGGACTGCTTCGCTTTGCCAATGAACCTGAAACCCCAAAAACATTGCTTGGAGTCCATTTGGGCTGTTAGAGGGAATCCAAAAGGAAGGAACCCAAATCGGGGTTGGTTCGTGTAGAGACAAATCCAGAAAAAGCTGCAAGCCAGGACCTTCAGGAGCGATGCCGTCAGGATGCCAACTCTCAGGGTGTCAAAAAGTCAAACCTTATCACCACGGCTGGTTTTCCCAAAGAAAGCCAATTGCGCTCGCTTCCACTTGTGCTTTTGTGCCGACCAATCAAATACATTCCTGCAGCTCAACTGAGAACCCCACAAAATGAATCAACGTGTTTGAGACACCTCGTTTCGGGGAACCCTTTTTTGGGTTCCGTGTTACTTTGCAATAGCGCATTCCAACATGACCTTTTGCTCACCTGCTAAATCTTAGGCATCTGGAAAGACTCATCGTCAGTTGGTAACATCGCTAAGTTCCAACTTGCTCAAGTTTAAGCCCATGGCAGAACCATCTTCAGCTGGCGTTTTCCCGTGCCTAGACCAGCACCCCAATCCGCTTCGCCTCATGGAGTAGGCTTCGCCCTTCGCCCCATTGCCTCGGAGAGTCATTCAACAGGTGTTCCCAGGTCACATGAGTTTCGTCAAAATCCATCATGGCTGCTTGAAAGAGACAGGGACGACCCCCATTTTCCCACGTCCAGATTTTTTCGCAGCTCGTGCAAAATTTTCGTGTATGGATCCCACGCCGGCCATGTCATGTCCTCTCAGAACGGGCAACAAAGAGCACCTGTAAATCTGTCAGCTGTTCATACGGGAACACGCCAAAACAAGAAGAATGGTTCATTTCATATTTCCTTTTGGAGTCAAATCGAACTTTGGCACTCTTGTCGAACTCAGCCTGCGCCTTCGTGGAAGTTCAAACCCGGATTCTCCGTCGGCTGCCATTTTTTGTTGAGGCAGCACAGCCCACTTGCATCATCTCGACCCTGTTCCAATTCTCCTTTCCAGCCTCCGTCTTCAGGGGCAAAGCTCCGATTTTTTTATCCCGAAAATGGCCGTGGGCGGACAAAGCTCTCGGACACGTTGTCAATGCGAAGAAAGAATTAAAGCGATTCTTCAGCCCCGAATGGGTTGTCCAATTGGGGGCATGTCCAAACGGGCAGGTCTCAATTGGGCGCCACTTTGCTTTCCCAAAGCCATCCAAAAGCATTAAAGCCTGGCCAAGCAGTGGATGTCAGCCCCATGGCATGCCCCATGTAGCCGCGAAAGTTCGCTGATGTCTCAGCTGTTATCATTTAAGCGCTTGAGTTGCGCCTTCTGCTGGACTATCATCCTTTGTGTTTTCTTACCTTGGGTGATAGCAGCGAGAATGCTTAACTGATCTTTTGGAACCTTCGCTTCCCTGTCTCGTTGGTGGTCATGCCCGCGTAGATCATATGCACCTTGCGCCTCTTTATCATGAGTGCCACAAGTGCTCAGCCACACCAAACACCTGTTTTCCGGCGACCGATCTCACAGCCAGTACCGTTGAAAGTGGGTCCAAACCCACCAGAAACAAAGGGTTTCAAAAGGTACCGCTGAACAACTAGCAAAAATGGCATCGGAGTTTTGAACGTGAACATAAGCTTGGAGTGTGCAATGTGCAACCCCAACCATCGCAACCAGTCTGCGCGAATGTTTCACAAACCGGAGATCTAGAATTCTAAAAGGAACCTTCATTATTGGCCATTTCGTTTTGAGGAACCCTCCAAGATTATTATTATTATTATTATTATTATTATTATTCTACACCTTTAGGGATGTCCCTTGACTTGCCCCTCAAAGTGACTCTACAAGGCGGCCGCGCGTTTGAAGATCCAACAACTACAGCCAGATCTTGGGCCCCCGCGAATTCCCCAGGTTTGCGTCTGCCCCGGCCTGCCCAAACGTGACATCAGGCCCCTTTGGAGGGGCAACAGATTGCAACTTGTGAAGCCATCAAGAATCAAAGCGCACTGTGCAAGGGGCCTGAAACGGGGTATCCCCATTGATCAGCCAAAACCAGACCCGCGACACCAAAGCACGAAGGTTGCTTCCATTCGACCCTCTCGGCGCAAAGATTCCAACCCTGGTGAGAGGCCGACGGAATCCAACTTGGCCCAACGAATTCTGGTTCGGAGTACCCGATGCGGAATCGCCGTACATTCAGAATCAAGAATAGGAAGCGACCCCAAGGATGGCAAAAACCCGAGCCTTTGCCATCTGGAGACTTTTGGAGGTATCTGTCCTAGAGAATTCAAAGACCTGGATTCGCCTTCCAGACAACGCCCCGGAAAGCTTCTGGGTCGACTCCAAAGAAAGGTTTGGTAGGTCCTCATTAAAGGATTCCGCCTGACCTTCATGTTTGCTGGACGGTATTAATGACAAAAACGGCAATTGACCCCCCTCTAAATGGATTGATTGCAATCGCCTCTCCAAAACCATGCCAAACATGATGCCTTGTTTTGACGCATAGGCAGGATGCAGTGACACTTTGCCAAACAAATGAAGGTTAAAAGGATGGGGGGAAGAGCCTGGTAAAAGCAAGGCCCTGAAAGTCTTACATGGATTTGCAAACGTATTTGGCATTGCGCCTGTTTGTGCCTCAGAACACACAGTTCAACATGGGAATGTCTCAAAATTTGGAAGGCCCCTCTTATGTTGGGAAACACCCCACATTCCCTGACTAATTACAAAGAAGGAAAGAAAGAAAAGAAGACAAACACCCAGAAAGAAAGGAAGAAGAAAGGAAGGAAGGAAGGAAGGAAGGAAGGAAGGAAGGAAGGAAGGAAGGAAGGAAGGAAGGAAGGAAGGAAGGAAGGAAGAAACAAAGAAAGGAAGAAAGAAACAAAGACAGACAAGCAGAAAGAAAGGAAGGAAGCAAGGAAGAAAGAAACGACAAGAACAAACGAAAAGAAAAGAAACAACCAGGGGAACTC